GATTCTGAACACGTTTAAATTATTCAGTTATCCTCTATGCATTAATAGCATAATGGCTATTTCTTAATTCAAGCTGGGGGAGAAAAAGAGATGAAAAAGAAAAATCGTGACTACTCATAGCTCTGTTCACTTCCCTCCTGTTTGTGGTGACAACCTTTTGTTGCGGCTGAAAAAGAAAAATCCCAGTGATGGAATAAAATTAATGAGAAAATTGTTCTGTTTATAGGCCAAAAGATGGCAGAACAAAAAAATTCAATCCAAAACAGGCCAGTGGTCAAGATGATGGCGTAGGTAAATGTGGGACTCACATCTTCCCACAACCACATCAAAATTACAGTGAAACTAGAGAACAACCATCATTGAGAACTACCTGAAATCTAACTGAACAGAAGTCCTATAACTAAAGATATAAAGCAGAAGCCACATCGATCCTAGCAGGAGGGGAAGAGACTTTGAATGTGCTGCTCCCACACCTCCATGTGGCGGATAAAGATTGGGAGGGATATCTTGCTGCTGAGGTACCCCAGAGGAGGGGTCCTAGTCCCGTACCAGGCTCCCCAGCCCAGGGTTCCAGTGCCAGAAAGGGAAGTCCCCATAACTTCTGGCTGTGAAAATCATCTTGGATTGAGGGTGAGGGAGATGGAGGGTTCCTGGAGTCTCATGCAGTTCCCCTTAAAGGGTCCATGCACGAACTTACTCAGAGTCTCTCACTCTGGGCTCCAGTGCTGTGGCAGCAGCTTGAAAGGCATGTGAGGAACATACTGGGAGGAACTGAATTGTGTGGTGTCAGGGCAAGGGCTAGAGGCACAGCTTTCTCCCAGACAGCTGTATCTTTGATGAGCCCTGGCCCCTACAGAGCTGGAAGGTGGGCTCCATATCCGAGTCTCCATCAATCTGGCTTCACACTGTTCACCCTGCCCTGGTGATTCCCTGAGACTCCACCCCATCCAACCTGTAAATATTTAGAAAAATGTATAGTAATTATTTTACTAGGTTATATTTCAGAACATATTTATTCAAATGTCATTTTATATTTATTGACTCCTGTAAGAATTGGGCTTATTGCTTTATGTCTGTGTTTTTTCTTCCATTTTATTATTAGTAATTTTTTCATATATACATATTATAAAAGTACCAATTTCTAACATATTAGAAATTTGAAAAAAAACAAAATTGTTCTTTACCATTGAGAGTTCGAGAAATAGAAACCTAGAGACCTGTTTTGGAGATCTGGTCTCGATAGCTCACAATTCTTGCTGGATTCTTTTATTGGCGTTGCCATTGGCCCAGCAAGTCAATGAACAAGTTGCTCAAGTACTGTGAGTTGAGATTTTTTTTTTCCCCATTGCCCAAAGACAATTATAATGTAAAATGTATTCAGATAGAGCCAATTTTTATTAAGCATGTTTGCAACAAAGGGCCACAAGTTTTGGAGTCAGATCTATGTTCAAGCCCAGCTATATAACTTCAAAAATATTTTCTGAGCTTCAGTTTCTTCATTTACAAAGTAGACATTACTCCTTGCCTCAAGCAGTTTTTGTGAAATTAACTGCAAAGGGGCTAGCACAATGCTGTCCAATAGAGCTTTCTGCAACGATGGAAATAAGTAATATCTGCTCTGTCCCATTCAGACCCATATGGCTACTGAGCCCTTGAAATATCTAGGCACTTAAAATATGATTGAAGAGTTGAGTTTTTATTTCATTTAAATTTAAAAAACACATGTGGTTAGTATATTTTACAGAGAAGTTTAGCCTATGTACCTGCATATAGTAGGTTCAATGTTAAAGTTTTCTTGAAGAACTGTATTGCCAGGTAATGTTTTGGATACTGGACATATATTGGTGAATAAGAGAAACATAGCCCCTGTACTTATGAAACTTATAGACTAGCAGATGATACAGAACTTGACATTATTTTTACAATAATGTCAATATCACCCTGGAGCACTGATCTGTTGAATGGTCCCTCTTAGTGGGGGATGGTAAAGGGGGGAACTTTTTATGGACTGACAACGGCTGCCCTCCCCAAAAACCTCAGTGCGCAGAGCTGGTCACTGAGGCATAAGGGGGTAAATGTGTTGAGGAGCCGAGGAGCTTTCTGGACAGAAAGAGACTAAAATGGAATCTCTCCAATAGATTGAGAAGTTCAAGCCCAGCTATATAACTTCAAAAAACTATTCCAGAAAAGGAAGTCAGGAACTGGTGTCCCACATGAAGGTTCGAGAGCAGAAGAGGCTGGCTACACACAGCTGTAGCTGAGGCAGGAAGGCCCTCTCCCTTACCAACCAGCCCCTGAGGGTCCTGCTTTGTGAGAAAGGCCAGAACATGTGAGGGGAGCCAGGAGATTTGTCATCCTGCATTGCTCTGGTCTGTGTGGGGATCTGGACCAGCAAGGGGACCTTTGCATAGTGGACAGAGACACCTGGAGGGAACAGGGATGTTGCATGGCAGGAGGAGAAACAGAAGTAGCTTAAAACCAGGGCTCTCTGGTGAACTGACCCAGTTCCCCAGTAGCTTTCTCAGAAGCAGCACTGGCCCTGTGGGCTAAGTAAGCCTCCTGGCAGTTTGTGGGAGTTGGGGAAGTACATACTGTAAGAAGGAGACACTGGACTTTTTGCTAAGATGGGAAGGACAGTGGCTTGAGAAATTAATTGGAAACTGAAAAGAGATGCAATTGCATTTTTAGCTCAAGCTATTAAAATAGGTCCCATGTACTTGTGTGCTGAATATATTGGAGGGAGAAGTAGGCACTAGGCAAGCACCTGACAAGAGGATTTAATGTAATGGGTGTGGTGAGGGGGCAGAGTCAGGGGAGGCTTGATGAAGTGACAGCTTAGTGGAGACCTAATGAATGACACCAACTCAGGTGGACAAGGAAAAATAAAGTAATTTATATGTCTAAAGCTCGGGTAACAAAGGTGATAGTGGTCCCATATAAAGCTGCATACATGAGTCACAACTCCTTGTGAGCATGGTGAAGCCATGGAAGAGATCTGAACAGGAGAGACATGATAGATTTGAGAAATTAAAAGCCCATGCTAGCTAAAAGTGAAAATCAATCATATTGGAGATAGCAGGAGTGGATGCAGGGAGATGAGTGAGGAGGGTTCTGCCCTAGTCCAGGTTGAACCTTGGTAGTGGCAGTGAGATTCAGTTAATCAATTGCAAAATTTTCATTCCCAGGTCACTTCCCACTTTACAGATAGAAAAATCATCTCAAAGGAGTTAGGTGATTTCGTGCAAGACCATAGAACCAATAAATAATAGCACCAGCTCCACACCTAACCTGACTTTGGTTTAAAGCTCTATCCACAGAACCAGCTATTCTCAACCTTTTTTTTTTTTTTTTTTTTTTTTTTTTTTTTTTGTGATACGTGAGTTTGTGTGCATGGCCACCACATTTCTACATTTGTATCCACATATCTCCTATGTAAGAAAGCATATTCCAATGCACAAGAGTTAGGGAGGTTATTATATAGGCAACCATGATTTCACTCAGCTTCATTAAAAACAAATAAACAAAAAAGGAATCATTTGCAAATTTATTCATTCAGCCCTTATTAGTAAAAATCTTTCCACTACAGTTGGTGCTTGAGCCTTGCACCCAGGAGCTACTGATGTCCTCACTCACTCTGGAGATCGAGATGAGGGGAGGATTTTCCCCCTGCTCTACCTTTGAGTATAACTCCACTTTATTCTCCAAAAGGGAATAAGGACAGAAGGCTCTTATTATACCATATTTCCAGACCTGGGTCCTGAGAACCCTCAAAGGGTTCTCAGGCCCCAGGTCTGGAAATTTGGTATAAAGGTAAGATTCTAATGAACTGCACTGCTTTTGCCACAACTCTGAGGTCACAGGTTTGCAGTCACAAAGTTTGACTAAACTTTGACTAAACAGTCAAAGTTCCCTGAGGTCTTTCAGCAGATCCTCTGAACTTTGACTGTTTAGTCAAAGTTCTGTCTAACAAGAACTTGTGATTCCCTCTTTATGGTGGAGTGTCCTTCCCCTCCACTTTTGTTATTTCTCTCTTTTTTATTTCTCTCTTCTTCCTTCTTCCCTTTTCCTTCTTTGACAATAGTTTTTTCAAGTCTACCTTAGAGGGGTTTTAAATATAACCCAAGCTAATACATATAGAGGGCAATGGGCAAAAATAGAGTATGATAATATTTCATGACAGATGAGAATATAGAAGTTAGGTTGTAAATGTGGGAGAACAGCCACGTAAACATCACCCAATCCTCAAATAGTGATCACCCCAAATTCTATCGAGTTACTCCCAGATGACATTTCTTTTTCTATAGACAAGGCTGTGTCTCAATCTTGGGAGGAGCTGGTTGGGTGCTGACAAAGGGATAGTTTAGGGAAGTACCAGATGAGACTGCAGATATTCAGGCCAAGGCTCCAAGGCTGCAGGCATGCTTTGTCCCCGGCTGGCACAGTAGGAGTGAGGATCTGCTGAAAGACCTCAGGGAACCACCAAACAGGTGCTTTCCCCACCCCCAAATTACCTCACACACTTTTCTCCTCCTCTTACCCCACCAGGAGATTCAGATTCCTGGGGGTAAGGGGCGGGTTTAGCCCAGCTCATATCTAGAATGAGGCAAGGAGAGATGAGAGCTGCAGGAGTTGTTAGAAAAGATCCTGGCATCTTTCCACCAGTGAATGCTGACCACATAGCTGTCCAACATTGCCAAAGTAACACCAATCTCATGAGGCTGATGGCACTTCTCGGCTCAAAGAACAAAGCAAACAATTTCATCCACAGAAACAAAATATTCCTTTAAAATAGTCAGTGTAAGAGTTTCAGCTCACTGAAGACTAGAGCCATTTTTTTTGGGGGGTGGGGGTGGGGGGGACCATCAGGACAAACCCAAAGCAATCCATAACCATTGAGTGGATCTGGTGTGAAACCAGGAAGCGTGAGGCCAGTGGCGAAAGCAGAGCCCTTCACTGCAGACACCCAGTCCACATGGTTACTGTGAATAAAACTCACCTACCTTTTCTTGAAGAAAGCTTTTGGCAGCATTGTTTTTTTAGGATTATCATTGCAACTATGAATATTAACGCAATGACGAAGGAAGGGATGATAATGTGAAGCAGCCAAGTTGAAGGGATCTCAGGTTCCATCTCACCTGGGTGAAGGAAAAGCACCACAATTACATGGTAGCTCAGAGGTAAATCAACAAGTTGGCCTTCTGAGTGGGTTATAACCAACATGGCCAACTTGCATTGAGCATCTAATTCACGCTAGGTACTTTCTATGTGCCCTGTGCAGACTAGCTCATTCACTCCTCATAATCACCATAGAGGCAGACTCCACTACGACCCCATTTTACTGGTAAAGAAAGTGAGACCTAGGAAGTTTCCCCAGAGTTATACAGCAAGTGTCAGAACTGAGATATGATCTAGGCTGTCTTGTTCTAGATTCTATGCTTTGCAACATTCTGACACATGTATCATATTCTATCTATGTGTCTACTTACCTACCTACCTACCTACCTACCTGTTTACCTATCATCATCATCATCTCTCTTTATCTTTCCAGTAAGGTAGTCTCTCAGTCCAAAATTGTCTCCCTGTCATGGTGCTTAGAATCTATATGCATTCATTATTAAATATCAAAGAATTACAGGGCCCTGTGGAAAAAATAAAATCTTATAAGTAGTATTCATATACAAAACCTAGTCATTGAAAATTACAATAATTAGCCCCTTTCCTTGTCACAGCTAATGAAGTTCCTGGCACTGTGGAAAAGATGAGTTTAGTAGAGAAGTGGATGAGAAAGTGATTTGGGAGCCTGGAGAAAACTTTATAAAGGAGAGCTCTGAATATCTAAAGGTTAGAATGAGAGCCCAGGCTGACCAAAGACAGGGCTGGAGGAGGGGGGGGGGGGTTAACTGCAGGGAGAAGGAAGTGGACCCAAGATAAGCTATACCTTTTCCATAAACTGAAGTCTGCCTCATGGAGTAACTTATATAGAATAAACACATGGAGTAACTTATACAGAATAAACACAGAAAAACTTGGAAACACTGCTCAGGGGGAAAGGTCCAGTCCTGTCCTCTTCCTCCCCTCCCCAACATAGTGCCTCCTGAGAACCATAGGCAGTTTTAGCTGAGAAGGGCACAGACATCATTTAATCTGAGCCCCTCATTTGAGAATTGACAAAGTTCAAAGATGAGAAATAATCTATCTAAGGTCATCACTGCTAAGCAAGTGGCTAAGCTGAAATTGCAAACCCATATCTCTCTGATCCAAAGCTCTGGCTCAATAGATACTATTCTCTGTCTAAGAGAGTGTGGAACACTAAGGAGGAAAAGGAGTAGAAAGCCTGGCTCATCCATATATTGGATAACCCATCCTTCAAAAAAGTATTTTTATTGAGGTATAATTGACATACAACATTACATTTGGTTTGACGTGTACAACATAATGATTCAATATTTGTACATACCGGCCGAAACCGGTTTGGCTCAGTGGTAGAGTGTCGGTCTGTAGACTGAAAAGTCCCAGGTTCGATTCCGGTCAAGGGCATGTACATTGGTTGCGGGCACATCCCTGGTAGTGGGTGTGCAAGAGGCAGCTGGTCGATGTTTCTCTCTCATCGACATTTCTAGCTCTCTATCTCTCTCCCTTTCTCTCTGTAAAATATCAATAAAATATATTTAAAAAAATATTTGTACATACTGTGAAATGATCACCGCAGTAAGTCTAGTTACCATCCCTCAATGCATAATCCATATTGATTACAGTCATCTCTTCACCCCTAGGAAGTGCTATTTAAGCTCTTGCCGCATGTAATACCATGAGTCAGGGAGTACTGGGACCTCACTGTTCCCACAACAGGAAAAGTGCCTACCTCAGGGCCTTTATGCAGACACTTGTCCTGTCCAGTTCCCTCATAGTCCTTTTCACATACAAAAGCTTATTCGTCCCTGAAGACTTTTCTAATGTTAATATCCAGTGGAACACCAGTCTGCTTAGATTGTAAGTATTTGAAGTGCAAAGACTTTATTTAAGTCACCTCTGAATCCCCTATAAAGCCAACCTACATGAATGGTGTCAGTAAGCATTTGTTGGACTGAATTGACCGTCTACCTAGTCCACCTACCCCTATCTTCCTTGTCAGCAGTTACCTTGTGGCAGACTGTCCCTTATTCCTTTAATCCATTCTGCTTTTCTTCTCTAGTGTTAGCTAGGTGTTAGCTGGACAGAGACTACATTCCTAAGTCTCCCATATAGATAGGTGTGGCTAGACATGTAAATTCATTTCAAGCAGAGGATGGGTCTTTTGAGTTTTGGCTTTAAAACACTGAATATGTCTCTTTTTCCTTTCTGAAGGCTGAAACATGGATATGGCAGTGAGCCAGCCTTGACAATTCAACGGGGGATACCACTCTGGAGAATGGCAGAAAAAGATGGAATGAACCTGGACCACAGAATGATTTTATGGAATATAGCTACTTACCTGCTCTGAATATTGCATGAGGGAGAAATATACTTTTGTGTTGTTTGAGTCACTGTATTTTCAGGTCTCTTAGTCTATATCCTAATACATATTCTTCTAAACTGTTTTTCTAATACTTGCATGCTACTTAACAATGATGTGATGCTGTATGGGAAAGCAATTTGTTTCATCCTTACTCACAAGGAAGCCATGCCTCGTGCAAAAGGTGCCATTTCTTTTCCTGTTTCCATCTTCTCAGAGTGCTAGAGATTTTGTTAGTATAATTTACTTAATAGTCCCAATAGCCTTGTAAAGTAGCTACCATTATTTACCCTCATTCAACAAAGGAAGACAAGGGACACTTCTAGGGTGGCTCAAGTTCTCAAAGCCTAGGTAGCAGAGAGGATTTGAAACTCAAGCCCATCTGACTTCAGAGCCTGCATGCTTGACTACTTCACTGCCAGGCTTCCTAGAAGGGCTTCTCTTGCCAACCCTATACGAATCTGGGCTCCAGTCTCACTGTATGTTTCCTAATGAAAATGCAACCACCGACTGAGCAGAATAAACTCTGTTTTGAAAGGAAAACCGTCACACTGCTCCTTAATTTCTGATAGAAAGTTAGGATGCTCAGTCATCCATTTTAGGGTCATCGGAGAACCACCCACCCCGAGAATTTCAGGGCTGTCTTTGTTTGATTCATTGATTTCTGGAAAAAACCTGTGGTGGGTCACAGAAATCGGTACTCAGCAGCTCAACTTATGAGAATGAGTAGATAGGGGTCAGTCATAAGACAACTTAAAAAGCCTTTGAGAAATAGAAGCTAGGAACCCGTGGGAGGATGTGTGACTGTGGTTTGGTACTTGTACCACAAGTCAGGGCATCATTTGACTACTCTGACTGACTGTCCACACAGTCTGGAGGCTGAGACGACGGGTCTGGGATCATCTAAGACTAAGCCTTCAACCCATTAATCTGACATTGGTTGAGCATTTATTATAAACAGAGCACTCTGTTTTTGCTTTATGTGGGTATAAAGAAGACTCGCGTGAATAATTAAAATACATGGAAAATAAAATAGTAATGGAAGAGAAAAGGTAAGCACAGTCACAGGCAAACAAAGAAGTGATACAATTGGTCCAGGAGGCAAGATGAGGGAAGACTGCTTGTCTCCTGGGGTTACCTGAGCTGCTCTAGAGAGAGAGTGGGCTTGGAACTGGTGAATAGTGATATTTTATGTGGAATAAAGTGCCTGAGCAAAGAGGTCATGGAGGTGGGAGAGGGTCAAGCAAGTTCAGAGAGTACATGATGAGGAAGGGGAGCTGACTGGAGCAGAGGATCATGTCAGGGGATGGTAGGATGAATTTAAAGCTGAGGAGGATGAGTAAAGCTAGCTCGAAGATTTCTAATTGCAAAGATTTCTCCATCTCCCTGCTGGTTGCATTCATGAGCGATATCCCAGGCTTTGATGCAGGCCCCACAGGTCTCTCCCACAACAGTTGACTATCAAATCAGGTGTGTTGGCTCCCCAGAGAGAGAGGGACCCCCTTACTTTATTCTTAGCTTCTCACAGCCTCAAGGCTTCCGGAGAAATGATCAGTCTGCCCTTCTACTTCTCTAACCCGAAGAAAAAATACTGATGCAAAGGACAGATTCTAGTTGTTTCCAAATTCATCTTAGCCAGGTCTGTATTTCTCTGTGGAGATCCTTATATAAATGTCCTTCTAGAAAACCACATTCCATCTGAAGTACTGGCTTACACTTAACCAAACAGAAAATGCCACATAACAAAGGACAGTAGAGTAAACATAGAGGACAGTCAAGGGGAAATAAAGTCCCCTGGGATTGTGAGTATTTAAGCTTCTAAAGCTGTAGTATGAATTAGCTATAGCTCGATATTCATAAGGTGACAAGTCTGGTGGTCTTTGCTGTGATAAAAACAGAAATAAAGATTATTGAAAAGCCAGCTTGCCTAATTAACTATTTTCATTCAAAGTCTACCCTAAAAATGATGTTTCTAATGTTTTTGTTTCTATCAACATCCTTAGCATGATTCCTCTCTTTACGGCTAACATTAGTGTTGGAACTGCATAGAGATGTGTAGGTAGGTAGGGAATTGGGGGGCAGTTGGGGACTTGGAAATAACAGTGCATCTGGATGCCTTTAAGAACTACATCAGGGAGTTTTGTGATATTTTTCCTCAGAAGTAAAAACTAGAAAAATAATGTCCATCGAATCACTTCAAAATTTTCAGTCTGGTCTGCTGATTGGTAAACGTTACTTTAATTTGAGGTGGAGCAGATAATTCTGATGCCCCCAACTCATATTCTGTCCATCTCACCCCAGGTATGGACTCACTTCCCCCTGCCAATCTCATCTCAAGCATGTGCTGCTTCTGTGCCAGGGCTCCCCCATGCTGAAGGCTGGTCCCTCTCACCATTACTTCCAGTGACCCACTTGTAGAATTTTTGCTTCTCATCTCCACAAATTTTAGTTTCCTGGATTAAAAATCCAGCTTCCTGATGGTGAATGATTCTACTATGGGATGTTATACCAAGAAACATTTCTACTGAATCTAATGGTATAGCTACTATCTCATCTGCTTGAGCTCTACCCACTGGTGGACCAGCAGGAAAGAAAAGAATTATTATATTGGTGGAGTAATTGATCTTAATTACCATGAAGAACTTGAAAGCTGTTACATAATGGAGGCAAGAAAGACTGTCTAGAATTCAGGGATCCACTGATTCTGATTCTGATTACTTCCATGCCCATTAGTAACAATGAAAAGGCAATTGTACCACTTAGTCAGCTAAGGGTAAGGCAACTAAAGGTTGAAAGTCTATGTCTCCTAGGTAAACAAACTATTACAAGTGCTGAATGTGGGAAATCTAGAATGTTAGAATGTATGGTGGATGAGATAGATGATAAATATCAATTGGAATCAATTGCAGCTGCAGGAACAGTAGTTTTTTGTTTTGTTTTTTTGTTTTTTTTTTCTTCCATATGACATCTTTTGCAGAGATTGTAGCTGCTTCTCCGCCTGAAGGCTCAGATACAGTAGACTTAATGTAGGGCATGAATGGGCTTGAACAGTACAAAGTTAGACTGTTGTAGCCCCGCCTCACTTCCTCTCAACTTGATGCCTGAGTTCAGCCACAGATTGGGTAGAATCCTGGTTGGGCTTTGATTCACTTCATGGTCAGTGATTCTTGGATAATTGCCTTCTGTCCTGGAGTGACTCTGACACTACAGATGCTGAGGGAGCTCACTCAGACCACAAGCATGCTCAGCTCACAGTGGAAGAGAGTTCATACTCCTGAGGACAACTGTCAACCACTGGGGATGAAAGCAGTTGCATTAGAGGACTTCCACCTGAAGACCTCTGAGTAAACATCTTAGGAGGCCATCTGTATGCTGCTCAGGAAGTCCTTGCATATTTGAGCTCCTGTTACCCACATCAACTTTGATAATGCATCCTTATTCTGCTTTTCCTTCTTTTCCTTCTTTCCTCTCATTTCTACTCCCTGGGATCAACCCATAAATAACTGCATGCCCAAGAGCCCTAATCATAGGCTCAGTTTTGTCTAAGACAAAGGACAAGAAGTGACATATAATGACAACATAGTTAATTTTCTCTAGTCAAATTAACCAGTACTAGGAAATGTCCTTTATTCTGAGATGATATTCTTTATTTGTATGCTAGTAGAATAATAACTCCCCTCAAAAATGTCCACGTTCTAATCCCTGAAACCTGTGAATATGTTATCCTACATTGCAAGGGGTTTTACAGATGTGATTATGTTAAGGAACTTGAAATGGGTCAAGTATCCTGAATTATTGAGTTCCAGTAGTCACAAGGGTCCCTAAGAGGTAGAAAGGAGAGGAAAGAGAGTTAAAAAAAAAAAAAAAAAGATGTGATGACAGAAGCAGAGGTATGCAGCTGCTGGCTTTGAAAGTGGAGGAAGGGTCCATGAGCTAAGGAATGCAGGTGGCCATTAAAAACTGGAAAAAACAAGAAAATACATTCTTCCTTGATTTGATTTGAGCTTAGTGAAGGCTTTTTCAGACTTCTGACTCCCAGAAGTGTAAAATAATAAATTTGTATTGTCCTAAGCTCACAAAGTTTGTGGTAATTTGTTATAGGACCACCAGGAGACCTGTGTACTTGGTGATAAATGTCCCGTCTCTTATGAAATGATTGCGATAATACATGTTAGCTGCTCTTATTTGTCAAATAAATGTCCTTACTTGGCATATAAAAAAAATGGTCAGACTTCAAAAAGCATTTGAGATTTTGCTAGTGTATGAAGTTCTAAAAGTATGAGACTCAGCATAGCCAGTGTAAGCTCTGCAAGATTTTTTTATGAGAAGCCAGTTTTCCTGTAAAACCTCCAAACCATTTATCTGGCAGCAAAGCCAGGAAAGTGATATTCATCCTGCTGAGTAATTAGCTTTTGTGCTGGATATTTTCTGTTTTCTCTTCAGACCATTATCTACAATTCAACATTCTGTTCTGAGCTCTGAGAGGTTGATCTTTATAGACTGGATCAGTGGATTCCCTTGTTCTCTGACAGTTGGATCTAGCATAATGGGATGCACCAGAAGATCAGAGGGTGGGAGAAGCATGAGGGTGGGATATTTATTCACCCACTTGCACCCTTTGGCAGATGCTGCGAGTGGCAGAATCCTCTTACTGGAGGGCACAGCTCTGTCACTTGGTGCTTTCCCCACAGCTCCCTTTGACTGCAATAGTGGTCATGGCTTCCCCTACTGTTGAAGCCCCAGGGTCATTCACTATCCTCAGTAGTTTCTTTTAATCCTGATCATAACTTCATAAATAGTCCCTTTATTATACTCTCCTCAAATTACTCATTCTGAGTGAACCCTGACTGATAGTCAGGGAGGGCAGCTGCTCTTACCTTGAGGGTCAATGATGGCTGAAGTAAGTTCCTTCACATCAGCGTTCCAGAACTCACAGGTGAAGTTTCTGCCAGGGAGTGGCTTTAGGCGCAGAATACTCGTGACCTGGTAGAGTCCATCAGAGGTCTCCCTGTGGCTAGTGTTGGCAGAAACGCTGATGTTTGGCCAGAAGACTTCTGCCAGGGGGTACCCTTCAGCCTGGCAGGTGAGCTCCACCTCATCTGTCCCTGGAACCTGAAGGATGCGAGTGTTTATTTTCTTGTAGGAAGCTGGGCAACAGAAGAAGAAAAAATAATAATAAGTCTTTCTTTTCTGATTCCTGTAGAGCTTGTACCCAATACCATATGAAATAAAGAAAATAATCATTATCAATATTAAGTAATAATACCTTTACTTTTTAAAAACATTTCCTTTGTTCCAGGAAATGGAACACATTTTGCACACATTGAGTTATTTAAGTTTTACAAGACAGCAAAAATGGTATTGTTGATATTCCCAATTCTTGTTGGAGGTAACTGAAGCCAGAGAGGTTGAATGCTTTGTGTGATGAATGACCTTAGAGTCTGATCTGCAAACCTGGAGTCTTAGGTTATGAGCTGAAGGAACAAGAAACAAAAGGACTCTATTCTAAGTCATATTCTCCTATATATTACCAGAGAAGCCCCAGAATAAGGATAGGGGAAAGGGGAACATCATGTGCTTATCCACTTATTTAAAAATGGCTGTCATTTTCCATTTGGTATTAATTCTTGTGTATATTGTTCACTTAGTTTAGAACATGAAGAGGAATAGTGGAGAGCGGCTTTAATTCCTGACTCCTTCCTCTTAACATACATTATGTCATTTAAACTATACAAGGACCTTGTGAGGTAGGTAAAATTCATAGTCTTATTTTGTAAATAAGGAAACAGCTGGAATCAGGGATAGATTGGGGGGAGGAGACTTGAACCCATGCCCTTCACAGCTACTGTATTCTCAATTTTGTATTGGAATCATCATCAGAGGATGATTCTCTATGTAACTGAAAATGTCTAGGGATGGAGCAATATAGAGAAAGGATGTTTTTAAGAGGGACTTCGGAGTACCCAGAACTAGTATACAAAAAGAATCAGGTTCTGAACCAGCCTACTGAAGGTCTTGAACCAGTTAGACTAACCCTGTGGTTGGCAAACTGGCTTGCAAGCCACATGTGGCTCTTTGGCCCCTTGAGTGTGGCTCTCCCTCAAAATACCATGGCTCGGCAAGTCTATTTTGAAGAAGTGGCATTAGAAGAGGTTTAAGTTTAAAAAATTTGGCTCTCAAAAGAAATTTCAATCATTGCACTGTTGACATTTGGCTCTGTTGGCTAATGAGTTTGCCGACCACTGGACTAACCAATCTCAGAGCCAAATACTAATAATCAGTCATGCATTCTGAATACTCATTTTGTGTTATTTATCTACAGTTTTCCCTCCTTTGTATGATGTTCTTTTATAGTCATGTTGTCCTATTATGTTGTACGTTATTTCTGAAGCTCTGGGGTATTTGGGGGAGATGGAGGATCATAAATGAATTTATAAGAGTAGTATAGTGGGTGAGGGTCTGGCCTGCTCCCACAGGGCAGCTTGGGATAAGAAGCTGATTTTCATGGCCAAGTTGATAGGTGATTTCAGAACTAGGAGGGTGAGGAATCAGGACCTGGGCCAAGGCTTGCACCTGAAGATATAGATAGATAGATAGATAGATAGATAGATAGATAGATAGATAGATAGATAGATATAGATATAGATATAGATATAGATATAGATATAGATATAGATATAGATATAGATAGATAGATATAAGATATATATATATATATATATATATATATATATATATATATAGAGAGAGAGAGAGAGAGAGAGAGAGAGAGAGAGAGAGAGAGAGAGAGATGGGAGAGATGTTAAACTAAAAGAATCAGCAAAGTTTAGGGAAGGGAGAGGAGAACACGTCTACATTTATAAAACTTAAAGACATTTCCACAGTATTTGGGAAGTGGCTGAAATGGCATCACTACCAGCAACACACAATGAGGAAGCTAGATTGAGGGTATTATTCTTAGGAAAAGATGAGTACATTTTAGAATTTCAGAGGTGGGAGTATTCTTAAAATACAACTAACCCAACTTCTGCTCTAGAAATATCTTTAGTAACTTTGGAAGATAGATATCTTGATGCATGCACTTGGAAATACATTCTGCAGTTGTTGGGTATAAGTTTCATATATATTAGTTAGGTCAAAATGGTTATGTTGTTCATTCTTCTATTTTTTTTGTTTGTTCTCTCAGTTATGATAGAGATGATTCAAAGTCTTCAAATATAATTGTGGATTTGCTTATGTCTCCTTTTATATCTGCCAGTTTTTGTTTTATATATATTGAAGCTACGTGTTTGATGTACACACATGTCTTCCTGTTGAGTTGACATTTTTTATCATTATGAAATGTCCCTTTTTATTTTTAATAATTTATTTTCTAATATTAGTAACTTGCTAGATAACTAACTTTTCATTAAGTAAGTCTATGAATGGAAGCTCTTACTTCTAGAAGTAGTTATTGCCATCATTAGACAATAAAAAGTTCAACTTTCATTGAAAAAAAAAGCATCCTTATGCCAAGTCAAATTTTGCCTCATGGTGACTTCAACCATTGGTTCTTGTCTGATTTAGCACAACACCACATGGTAAGCACAGCAGTTGGAACATAGGCTTCGGAATCTGAAAGGTTTGACTGGGCTTGAGCCAAAGTCTGGTTACACAACCTATTGACCCTTTAGGTTTTTCATTTATAAAATTGGTACAATAATACTTATCCTTAACAGGAGTGTTAGAATGATTAAATAAATGAGTTACATGTCTAAAACATAATAAATACTCAATTAGTGTTAGTAATTATTAGCTCTTCCATATGAGAAGGCAACTCTTCCAGTATTTGAAGATAACTGATGAAACTCCATAGTCTTTTCATTTGTAGATAAACAAGTCTTTTTCTATCAACCATTTCTCAGAAGACATAGTTGTCAAACCCAGTGCTAGATACCAGTTTTTGGATTCACTTTCTTTCTTTCTCTCCTTCCCCCCCACCCCCCCGCCCGCGCCCAATGTAATGTGAGCTATATTCCAAGTGTTATCTAAGCAGTACAAAGTATAATTACCTCCTATGCATTGGACACACTTTAGGCCCAACAGGCTAGGGTCATAAGACGAATTTTGTTAAATAAATGAACTACTGCCTAGCCTGGTTCTCTGTAACAGACCCCTTGGCATTTGGAGACTATCTCCAGGTTGACCCAAGACCATCAATCACCCTTTGCTGCCCCTGACTCAACAACTACTAGTTGTTCAGTCTGTTATAGATACAGGTAACTACTACTATTCAACCCGCATTTTACTACTTTATGCACAAGGTGTGTGCTGTGTGGGTCCTGATCCTGTTTGTCCACAGATCCATCCCTCAACTTTTCTTCTCTGCTTTTTACTGCAGGAAGACTGATTCCTGCAGGCTGTGTATTCCAGGTTCTTGACAGCCGATAGGAACATGATGGGAAGCTTGAAGGGTGAGAGAGGGGGAAATGTTAGGGTATTCCTCCCCCCGTGTGCTATGCTATACTGGTCTCTCCAGCAACACCTACATCTCTCCCCTGGCTTCTGCTATCTTTGGACAGGCACACTGGGATTCCAGGGTCTGTCATGTGACTCTGGGTCCTATGCTCCACCAACCTGCCTTCCTGTTTTCCCTCCAGCCCACTGGTGGTAGCAGCTTCCTAGATAGGCTTCATAGTCTATTCCATCAAAAGATTTCCTGATTTAAATCTCCAATGGTTATCCTACAATGGTTTAAGTGGTTTCTGTTTTCTTGAACTATATGATTTATAAATTACTGGCAACTCTAGCATTGCTGAAATAAATATAAGCTGTACATAGTATTATCAGTTTTATCATCATAATTACTGTAACTATGGTTAAAATAAAAAAGTAGGTTTCCATGTTCTAGCCTCAGACAATCCCAACAGATTTCTAATAATCACTGACAAAAAATTTTTTTTTTTAGGATTTCTCTCATTTGTCTGGAGAGGAACCTCAGGTTAAACAGTTTATAATTCACAGAAGCTTTTCCTCCCCTTCAAAATTCATTGTTCCTTGACTCCAGCTTTCCTTATTCCCTTCCGCTTCCCCAGTGGAGAAGAGACACCAAGATCAGAGCCCCATCAGTAAGTTCTTTTAGCAAATGCTTTCTCTGGGCCTAGAGGCTGAAAGCATTGCTATCTTTTCACTACCGCGTGGCTCCTCTCGGCCTGTTTCCTCCTTAGGCCCTGCGTTTTCCCTTCTTAGGGTGAAGACCATTTCTCTAGTAATTAAGAATGGGAGCCATGCCGCTTCCTTCCTCCACTTGCTAAAGTTGCACTCTCTGTGTCTCTGGGGCCTTTTTCTCAGTTCATTCCAGGTGTTGGCTCTCTCCATTCTTATCTTCATGCTTTGCCCAGGCCTCCAGGTTGGTGTGGTCCTTCTATTCTTAGTACTTGCTGTGTCTGTTGGGGATTCTTTGCATAGGCCAGTTCTCAACCTGCGGGCTCAATTCCTGGGCTGTCCCAGTCTCTCAGAGCCACTGTATTCTGTTTTCCCAGCCATGCTCCCTGCTCTTCCTTGGACACATTTTTCACTGTTTTTGCAGTTGCTTTTCAGAACCTGGCTTTTCAGAAGCTGCAGTCTCTTGATACTGTCTCTTCTGGACTCGCCAGCCATATTACCTACTATAATATTTCCCTCCCTTTGCTTTTGAAATCAGTTAATCAGTTCGCTTTTCACTATATTTAATATGAACTGTTGCCCAGACATTAAGTAAGGTGCAAAAAATATTTTCAATGTTTATACCATAGGTCAGACATTTTAAGAAAAAAGCTTGTCCTTCCTTTAGTCCTATTTCATGTAAACAAATCCTAACTGGGGCTCCAGTTCTTCCCTGCTTCCTTCAGAGATCCCTGATCAGGATAAAATACTCTTAGGTGATAAGCTTCAACTTATTTTTTTCTTGTATTTCTCCGAAAAAAAAAAAAAAAATGTGATCCAGTGTGCACCCTCTCACATATTTAATTCTTAAAGATTTTAGTGTTTCTAGGTTGGAAAATATATGACATTTAGAAGTTTAGAAACATTTATATTTTTAGTAAAACAATTATTTCATTCTTACATATGTATTCAATGTCATCTAGATATGGAAGAAAGTTTTTTATAGACACTGCCATCTATTGAAAAATGCATATAAATTTTTTTTCTCTAATAGTCAGAGCTTTACTTTGTTTCTTTTTAATCTTTGAACCTTCATTTTCATTCCACTTTTCTATAGAATTTTATCCTCGTGCATCATATTTTAAAGTTTTTATTGATTATTCCATGTTTCTTTGAAACCAAACATGATGTGTGGCTATTGAAATACAATATTTTTTCTTGTGACTGTAAGGCTTCAAGTGTTCAAAGCTATCTTCTGCATTAAAATCTAATTTCCATTATTATTAGCACATGTAAAATCAAACATAAAAATATGAATATTGATAATTATTAAACATAAATTTTTATTGGAAATGTATCACTTAATGGGATGGATGGGGCTTTCTTCCTGATTTCTTCATGAATCATGAATCTTCATGAGGATGCATATGATTTATGATTGAAATGAGACAAGATTCAACATCAATTCTATTTCTATTTGTCATTTTTAATAGCTATAAGAACTTCATGCTTTGCCCAGGCCTTCAGGTTGGTGTGGTCCTTCAATTCTTAGTACTTGCTCTGTGTCTGTTGGGGATTCTTTGCCCATAGTGGGGATAAACATAAGGCATTTCATTCTTTGAAAGACTTATGTTTATATGGCAACAATTACTTCATCTTTTATTATATTATTATCAGGTGCTCATTTATTAGGGTCTCCTTCAATTTTGTTGAAAACAGAGAACTTGATATCTCCTCATCTGCAATAGATTTGTTAGTCATTGCAATTTGATAAGTTATCAATATTTCTAATTACTCTTTTGTTTAGGGTTATGAAGGGGTTTTTATTGTTGTTGTTTTTTATAGAGAACCCACAATTCAGTTTTATTCAGAGAAAAGAAAAAAGATACTTTTGATCATACTGGAAAAAACACAGCCATAGGTTTGGAATGTGTACACACTACACATGAAATGAGGACAATATTCTGCTAATAGAATTGATTTACTGCTGCATTTGTCTTCTGTTTGTCCGATATTAACAATTATAAACAGAGCAGCGTAACAATTTGAAACAATCCTTACAGTGGTCAGACACAACTTTTCACTTCTCTTCACACCACTGGTTCTCTTTGCGTACCTGGGCTTCCTCTTCTTCAGTAAAGTCATTTTTGAGATTAAAGTTCTTGTGGATCTCTTCAAGGGTTTTCCCCTTGATCATCTTGGCAATAGTCTTGTATGTAAATCAAGAAAACCTTTGATGTTTAAATCGTTTGCAGCCAGAATAAATTCAAATAGTGTTATTATCAACTCTGAGGAATTCTTGGTCCCAAACAGGGATATCATCTATTCCCTTTTCTTTGTTCTCATCGTCGTTAGGAGGAAGAGGCCATCCTTGTGGTGGGTGTACCACTGAGTGACCTTTTTTAATATTGCTGCATTAACATTTGGTAGAGAAACTGTGTCATCATTGCCTTCAGCATCCATTCCCAAATCTTCTAAAATGGTCTTGATAGTCACAGATTGTTTGGCAATTTCAACATCAGCTTTAAATATCTCTCCATCAGAACCCTGCAACTTAATTGCAGGCATGGTGCTCAGTCTCAAGGAGAGAGCGGGCTGGAGGCTGACAAGAATGGGACAGCATCAGCAGAATCAAAAGAAAAATGTGGAGAACAAGGCCACTTCCCAGGCTATGGAGGTTTTTGCACTGTGGGGCAATGCACTGTATTCGTGATGGGTGACAGGTGGGCTTTTCTGAAATGGGAGAAAGCAATACTAAAAGAGGAAGTGTTCTAGGGGAACCCCAAGAGCCTTGCCTGGAAGGCACATTCTCAGGCGCAATCAGTTTGGGGGAAAAGTACTTGGGGAAGACGAAGATTGAGAAACTCACTTCCTAAAACTGCCTGTGCCTGTCCACTCCTTAGAAAAAGTCTTTGTGATCCCCATATAGCCTAGTTTGGAGACCATTAACAAGTTAAGAAATTAATTAGTTAATTGTTTAATTAATTTATAAAGAATAAATCTGCTCCATAGCTGAGCCATCCCTGGTCTAGGTGAGGAAGCAAGCAGAGTGCCTTCTCAAGAATAAAAAATAGCCCTCAGCCACAGAGAAAAAATGGGACATTTGACCCCTAATTGAGCCAAAATCCTAGATGCTTTACAGCATTCAAATAGAGACCCACAAACGTGGGGGCCTTAAGGGGATCATGAAATGTACAGTCTTCTCTCTTCCTGTTAATTGAACTCAGACTAACTTCAATGTTCTGGAAGTTCCTCCCAGTTTAAGTCTGGAGGTAGGAAATGCAATAAAGATAGAAAGCAGGTCCTAGCTGGTTTGGCTCGGTGGTTAGAGTGCTGGCCTATGGAGTGAAGGGTACCAGGTTTGATTCTTATCAAGGGCACATGCTTGGGTTGTGGGCTTGGTCCCCAGTGGGAGGCATGCAGCTGATGTTTCTCTCTCATCGTTGATATTTCTATCTCTCCCTTCCTCTGTGAAATCAATTTATATATATTGAACACAGAGGAATGGGAACAGCTATTTTTTTTAAACTTTCATTTTATTTTTAAAAATTGATTTTAGAGAGAGAGATAGAGGGTAAGGGAGAAAGAGGGAGAGAGAGAGGGAGAAGGAGAGGGAGAGGAAGAGGCGGAGGAGGAGGGGAAGGAGGAGAGGGAAGAGGAGGGGGAGGGGGATATATGTTATCTACCCACTTGTGCATTCACTGGTTGTCGTCTGCATGTGCCCTTACTTGGAGACCAACCTGCAAACCTTGGTGCATCTATGATGCACGTGGTCAATGCTCCAGCCAATGAAGTTACCCTGGGCTCCTTCAGGCCGCCCACATCACTTCTGTGAACTTCTATTCATCAGCAATTAATGAGGCTTGGACTAGAGTAGTGCCCTTCAAGCCTTTTAGACTGACCCAGAGTGAGGCAACAGACAAAACATACAACCTCTGATGTATTTTATTCTACTCATTTTGTTCACTCGTTTTATTGGGGGGAGAGGGGGGAGCACCTACCTGATTACTACTCACTAAACCGATATTTTAATTCATAAATGGATGGCAAACCATGGTTTAAATAACTCTGGACTGGGGGAATAAGCTGTTCTCAAAGAGTAGCTTAATAATCAAGCAATGTTTCTCAAACAAACTGTGAATTAGGCACAGCCAACCTTTGACTCCTCCCCTCCTTTCAAGGACTCATGGCTGCCTTCCTCTAGCCCCATTTATTCCTGCTACTCCTGCTCCTATTTCCCTTACCGCAGCAGCCTTGTATGCATATGGAACACGTTATTACTGACCAGGTACTTTTCCTTTCTTTGCGATAGCTCTGTCTCCTTAGAACCATCCTCCCAGCTTTAGCTCGAGCTCACTTTAGGTCCTTGTTGGAGAGATGTTTCCACAGTTCCTGGCCCCGAAACTACTCACCTTTGACTTTTAGAGTCAGGTACTTGTAGTCCCAGGAGCTCCTATAGACGACCACGCAGCGGTACTTCCCCGCGTCGCTCAGCTGGACTCGGGGGAAGTGGAATAAGGCCTTGCCCAGGGGCAGCTGCTCCTTCAGCAAAGTGGCGCTGTTCAAGGATGTATTGTCTTCCAACTTTTGCAAACTGGCTTGTATATATTCAACATCCAGGTCATCTTCAGAGTAAAAGTCACACTCCAGGGTCACATTGCTGCCTTGTTCCACTGTGTATAGTTCTTTAGGGATCACCACTCTGAATAAGGCTAAAGAGAAAACAAGATATTCTCCCATTGTCTGCCTTCACATTTCAGTTCTGTGCAGAGTGGAAGCCAAAGGGACTCAGGCCACCCCGATTTTCTAGGGAATATCCATCATTATCTGGGCATTGCTTGGGCTCATTTCTGTCCCTTCCCCATCTGGGCAAGAGTGGACTTCTCTACACACTGTTCTGAGGTAGTTTTCTCCTCTCAACACTCCCCACCTGTACACCTGATGGCCCTCCTACCACCTATTATCCAGGCTCATCTTTTTTCATGTGAATGAAATTACATCATTCCCTGAAAAAAAGTGAATTACCTTTCACCAGTGATAATAATTACAATCACTACGTGTTGAGTTCTTACTATGTGTTAAGCCTCTGCTAACTCGTTTGTCAAAAATGTATTAACTATCTTAATGAGCCAGGTTCAGGAATTTACACTAATTGAACTTTCCTCATAGCACTTCCTTTTTTTTTTTTTTTTTTTTTTAACACATGATAAAATAGGAAACAGGGAAGAAAAATGGGGCTTGCAAGGAAGATTAGCTGCTGAGTCTGAGATATAATAAGAATTAGAGGACTCTGGGTACAATTTAATTAACAAATGTATTTATCACACTATGCTTTCTTTTCACGAGAGGAACGTCTGTAACTTCCTCTGGAACTCCCCATAGCACAGAGCAGAACTCCCCTCTTGACTGTCTGGGCCTTTGACAAAAATGCATTTTCTGCTTGCTTCCCCACTCTGCCTTGTACAGGGCTGTGTGTACCAGGCTGCAGGCATACAGCACGCTACCTCTCAGACAGCTGATGTTTTTCAGCTAATGTTCACAAGAGAAAAAAGCAATTAGCAAACATGGATCATGTATATGAATACCTCAGAATAACTAGGAAATTTTTATTTGGGAAGGCTTTTTTAAAGCATAGTAATTAATGCTCTGGACCCACTTAGAATTCCTTCAAATTAAATTCTAATTCTTTTGTGAGGCTAGCATCAATTTTTTAAAAATTTCCCTAATATGCAAAGAACTTTGAGAACCACTGGTTAGACAAAACACCTGCACCTGCAAACATCTTTTATCATCCTGCCATTTAAGTGTTGTCCTCAGTTTCTCCTTGGAGCTAGTTAGGAATGCAGAATGTCAGGGCCTGCCCCAGACCTAGAGAAGCAGAATCTGCATCTTAGCATTGATGGCGTGATTCACGTGCACATTAACATTTGAGAAGTTGAGTTAAAGCTCTGGGATGCATTGGGACTTTTAATGGGAAGTAGAATAATAGTTAATATTTATTAAACACAATGAGCCAGACACTGGGCTAGCTTTACATCATCATCTCATTTGATGTTTCCTAAATCCTGCAAGGTAGGAGTTACTGCTCCCATTTTACAGTTGGGGAAACTGAGGCTTAAAGAAGTGATACACTTGAGCAAGGTCATGGAGTTGGAATTCAAATTTATATATCTGGGACTTGAAAACTTATACTCCTAACAACTTTACAGATATGACTATATACCCACTGGCATGTACATACTATTGAATACATCCATGAATAAAACAGAAATTTTTTCATCTTTGTACTAAAAAAATACATTTGTTTTATATTTTATACACTTCGTAGTTATTAATTTAACCTTCAGCTTAGCATTGCATTCCTGAAGTTATCAGACAAAGGAGAAAATTAGAAAATTTCCGTGACTACAAAATTAAGCTAATAAGACAGGCTTTCGCCATTATTTGGGGCCCTTAACTAAGTTAAAGGGTAAAGGAGTTGGCCAGGGCATGAAAAACTCATACGTGCAGGTTTTTTAGGCAAATTAAAGCAGTTTCCTTGACTAATGCTGGAGCCTTTGAAAAATTTTATATAATGTACACATACTTTAATAATATATTGATCCACTGAATCTACATTTTACAAAAGATAAAAAATTATATAATCCAGTTCAACCTGCATACAATTAGGGTGCACTTATAGTGCTGGAGTCTTTTTGAAAGTTCTTGGGGTAACTTTACATTTTATTTGCAATCAAGAATCAATGGGAGCCAGCACCTGTCACATCTCCAGTAAACACAAAATAAATCATTTGCATTGCCTCCCAAGATAGCTTCCTCTTTAAGCTAATTTTATACTTTTTTTTTTTGTACTTGACAACAGAACCTTAGACTTGTTCCTACTTCCTACCTAATGTGCTTATAAGTTGGGGGCTGCTTAAGAAAAGCCACAGTTTTCAGAGAACTCTAATTTTTGGTTCAAGATAAAAGCCTGCTCTGGGCAGCTGACTCAGGCACTCCTTTGTATAGGAACTCTGCATGGAGACATCTTAGAAATCCATCCCCCAACCTGATTCTTCTGTGTTGTATGCCTAAGGGGTCAACAGAAGTAGTTTTGGAGAAGGAAGATAGAATAAGTGGAGTGACCCGGGGTATAGGCCCTGCCCCAGAGTGATATCAAATATCACCATGGTCATGTGCCCTCCTGATTTTATCTATCTCTGGAAGATGAAGAAAGAAAGAAACATCAATGAAAAGAGTAAAATTTAGGTTACTTTTTTCTTCTAAGACATGACAACAGATAAAAGTAAATACCTTTCTTAAATGTATTACAAGATGAGTTATAAGATATTGTTAGGTATATATATATATATATATATATATATATATATATATATATGGCTAATTTGCTAAGTGTCCCTCTGTTTGACTATTTGATCAGTCGCTATGATGCACACTGACCACCAGGGGACAGACGCTCTGACTGGTAGGTTAGCTTGCTGCTGGGGTCCAGCCAATAGGGACTGGATGAGACAGGCCAGTCATGCCCTGGAGCCCTCCTCTGCAGTCCCTCCCCAAACCCAATCATGCATCAGTGGGGTCCCTTGGCCTGGCCTGTGCCCTCTCACAATCCAGGTTCCCTTGAGGGATGTAGAGAGGCAGTTTCAGCCTGATCCCCACCAGTGCATGAATTCATGCACCAGGCCTCTAGTAAAAAATAGCAGAAACTAAAGCACAGCCAGTGTTGCTCAGTGGTTGGGAATCAACCATGAACTAGGATGACATGGTTCAATTCCTGATCAGGCCACAAGCCTGGGTTTCAGGCTTGATTTCCAGTGGGGGGCGTGCAAGAGGCAGCTGATCAATTCTCTCATCATTGATGTCTCTCTCTCTCTCCCCCCTTTCCTCTCTGAAATCAATAAAAACATATTTAAACAAAACAAACAAACAAAAAAACCCCTTAACAATAAGAAAACAAACAACCCACCGAAACCGGTTTGGCTCAGTGGTAGAGCGTCGATCTACGGACTGAAAGGTCCCAGGTTCGATTCCAGTCAAGGGCATGTACATTGGTTGTGGGCACATCCCCGGTGCGGGGTGTGCAAGGGGCAGCTGGTCAATGTTTCTCTCTCATTGATGTTTCTAGCTCTCTATCTCTTTCCCTTCCTCTCTGTAAAAAATCAATAAAATATATTTTAAAAAACAGCAACAACAAACAATCCAATTAAAATTGGTCAAATAATTGGAATACATACTTCACCAAACAAGATATATGAATGGCCATAGAATGTGAAACTATGCTTATCATCACTAGATATTAGGGACATGCAAATTAAGAGCAAATGAGATACTTCCACACACCTTTTAGAATGACTTAAAAAAAGAAAATGATAATGTCAATACCACGTATTGAGAAGGATGTGGAATAATTGGAACTCTAATACTTTGCTGATGGGAATGCATTCTCCTGTTGATGGGCATTAGGTGATTTTTAATGACTAACAACACTGTAATAAATATTATTTTTAAAGTTTCAGAGTAGAAATTTAAACAGGCAAGGTAACACAAAATTATATTGATCCAATTATATATCTATTTTTCCCCCATTTCGGTGAGAGTGCAGGTCTATGGATTCACAGGGCAATGAGGGCAGGGAGGTCATCCGTCAGACCTCCCTGATAGCCAGGGTTCTCTGGGGACTGAATTCCATGGCCTATCTGCTCTCATGTGATTTTAAAGGATTCCTATATTTTAATAATTATACTTTAACTAGTGGCCTGGTGCACGAAATTCATGCATGGGGGGGGTTGTTGTTCCTCAGCCTGGCCTGCACCCTCTCCAATCTGGGAACCCTTGAAGGATGTACTACTGCCAGTTTACGAGCCTAAACTGGCAGTAGGACATCCCGTTCATAATCAGGGACTGTGAGCTCCAGCCTTTCACCTGCCGGCCTGCCTGCCTGATTTCCCCTAACAATTCTGCCTGCTGGCTTGCTCACCCCCAACTGCCCCCCCCCCCGCTGGCCTGTTAGCCCCCAACTTACCTCCCCACTGGCCTGCTCGCCCCCAACGTGCCCCCCCCCCCGCTGGCCTGTTCACTCCAAATTGCCCCCCCTGCTGTCCTGCTCACCTCTACCTGGCCCCCTGCTGGTCTGCTTACCTCCAATGGCCCCACTCCCCACCAGCCTGATCACCCACAACTGCCATCCCATCCTGGCCTGATCACACCCTGGTGACCCAAGCTTCCAGCCCCTCCTTTTTTATTTTCTTTCTTTCTTTCTTTTTTTTTTTTTCAGTGCCTCCTTGAGCAGAAGCCAGGGTCGGCTGGAAGCAAGTATCTGGGATTTATTTATCTTTAATAATTGAAACTTTGTAGCCTTGGGTGGAGGTCAGGGCCAGCCAGGGTGGGCAGGAAGCTTGGCTTCCTCCATCACCAGGGCAACCCAAGCCTCCTGGTCATTCCAGCTCTGTGGCTGCAGCCATCTTGGTTGTGTTAATTTGCATATTCCCTCCTGATTGACTGGTTGGTGTGGCTTGTGGGAATAGCAGAGGTACAGTCAATTTGCATGTTTCTCTCTTATTAGTGTAGATTATACAACCAATCCTCTTGTAGATTTATTTTATTATACAAGTAAATGCAAACAATAACAACAAACTGGTAAACATACTAAATAAAATTTCCCTTTTCACCCTCATCATAGACCTCATATGCTCTCCAGAAGTAGTAATCTAATCAGTCCTCAGTGTGTGTGTGTGTGTGTGTGTGTTTCCCTTTCTTTCTCCGGTAGCCTCTATGAGAAATTCTTTAATTAAGAGAGACATGAAATGTCAAAACTTAAAAACAAACCTGAGGGGTAAGCATTCTAATTTTAGACAGGTATTTAATGTTTGTTTGAACTAATATTATCTGCATAAATATATAATGGAAAGCAGAGAAGAATTCCAAGTTTGTACAAAAAGCAAGATACAATATGTATATATAGCTTCCTCTTAGTTAATTCATAAAAATGCATACATATTTTTTGGTTTTGTGAATGTCCAGAGTAAATGTTTAATATGTGCCCATAATCAAACTTAATTCCAAAAATCCAATCCATCCAGAGTGTGTGGGTTAGGCATTGTCTGCAGTACTTGCTCACCATCATTGTAGCCCAGTAAGGTAGAAAGAACAGTAGCTTTGGTAAATTAAATAACTTTTCTGAATCCTAGTTTCCTCATCTACCAAATGATTACTGTGAAGATATAATAAGATAAGATATATAAATTTCCTAGTACAGTTATTTGGCATTCAATGTCCTCAATAAATAAACAGTATTCTCTTCCCTATGCCCCATTAGTATCCCTAATTGTTAGAACCTACTTTCATTTCCTTGTGCTACTTATCTTAGAAAGATAGGTACTACCACTGGAGAAAGATTCAGTAAGAGATACGAAATGATACCACTTGTTATCCTAGCTCACTCTTTTCTTTAAGAGAAAATTTAAAGCAACAACAACAACAACAACAACAAAAACTCACACAAAAAAAGGTCTCAATGTTTCTAAGCTGCAAACCTGCAGAAGTTTTACAATTCCCAGGGTTTCTCCTGGAGATTCCAGTCCTAACAGGGGATGGGGTACAGCAGCTTTAGAACCTTCTTTTGATCTTTGATTTTCTTATCATTTTACTAGAGGCCTGGTGAATGAATTCGTGTACCAGTAGGGTCCTGAGGCCTGGCCTGCAGGTTCGGGCCAAAACCAGCTCTCCAACATCCCCTGAGGGTCCTGAATTGCGAGAGGGCACAGGCCAGGCTGAGCGACCCCACCAGTGCACGATCGGGGCCAGGGAGGTACGCGGAGGTTGGCCAGCTGGGGAGGGACCGCGGGAGGATTCCAGGGCATGTTCGGCCCATCTTGCTCAGTCCCAATCAGCTGAACCTTAGCAACAAGCTCACCTGCCAGTCAGAGCATCTGCCCCCTGATGGTCAGTGCACCTCATAGCAAGCGGTTGAGTGGCCTTAGCATATCATTAGCATATTATGCTTTGATGGGTTGAACGGACTACTGGACACTTACCATACTAGGCTTTTATTATATAGGTTGGAAATTTAAAGTTCTATGGTAGCAAGGAGGCATCTTTGCCTTTCATATGTCTCTAAAATCTGAGGGTGCCTGAGAAAGGTAACAGGATGTGTTTCTTCAGCTGGCTCTACAGGGCAGGGCTGGAGTAAGCAGCATATTGGGGTGTTCTCCACGGATGGCTCCTACCAGACCAGGCTGTCCAGCCCAAGGAAGGAAGAGGAATGTAACTGAGTAAATAGCAGCTTGGGATCACCTGGAAGGTAGGGGAAAGCTCTTCAAAAGGTTATCAGTGCCAAGGAAGCCATTCTTTTTCAACCAAAGGCAGAATGTGGGAGGACTTCCCAAGGATTGGGGCTGCTGTCATTGAGGGCCTAAACCCCTGTGCCCACTTCTGTCTTCCTCTCTTACCTCCTGGTATTCACCCAAAATAGCATACTCATTATCCTCACTGCACACAGAAAGGGTCTGAACTACCTTTCCTAGGAGTGCCACAAACTGTGAAACTGCTTTTTGCCTTCAACCACGAAAAGTACTTTAGATGGGAAAAAACTTGTGAGCATCCACACCTACTGGTAGAACTCCTTTCTTCAATATCCAAAGGCATCACATTAAGGTTCATTATTCATTTAAACATTAGGAAAACTCTGATTTTCCAATTCAAGTAATTCTCTATTAGCATTTGAATGAACAATTTTAAAAGAGGAACTGAAATAAATATTTAATAATCAGCAGAATGTCTACAAGAGACTCTTTAAAGTAACAGAGTCCTTCAGGTGTCCCCCGGATCTTTGTCTCCTCCCTCTCCCTGTCAGAAGAGAAGGGGACAGCTGGCTGGCACCTCTCCTTTCAGGACAAACAAATAATGCCCTCTTGTATCAGTTCTGAGGTGAATGGTCTGAGACGTTCTGTCTTCTTGTCACCACCTTCATTGCAGAGTGGGACTGGATGAACCAATATGCTCAGTCCCTGCTTTTGTAAGACTGGAACATGGGCATGCACGAGCCACCATTCTTTTGCTGTGCTTGTAACAGCCAGTTATCACTCTTCCCCTCAAAGGAAACCTTTAGCCTGAGGACCGCATTGCCATCATTGGCTTCAGCTAGGGGCCACCACCTGCCCCTCTTTCTCAGGCCCCTCCCTTTGTCTGTCTTACCTCTGCTCCGATGAAGCTGTACTCCCAGGCTCAAAATTAGCAGGAGGAGGAACATGTTGTCTACCGGATCTGAAACAGACAATTGAAAGTCTCAGGCCCTTCTGAAGTTTTGCTTTCTGTAGTTTTTCTGGTCTCATGACTTGATGACTTGTTCACTCCTGAAAATAAGGAAATGACTTATAAACAAATATTTTTAAAAATATTTTTATAGATTTTAGGGAGAGAGGAGGAAGAGGGAGAGAGAAAGATCGATGTGAGAGGAAAATAGGAACTGGCTGCCTCCTGCAAGCCCACCACCACAGGGGACTGAGCTGCAACCCAGCACATGCCCTGACCGAGAAATCATACCAACAACCCTTGGGTGCACTGGATGTTCAACCAACTGAGCCACATCGGCCAGGACTCATAAACAAATCTCTAAGTGGGCCATGGCAGAGTGAAGCTGGGAAGGGAAGTCTCGGGCTTCTCAGAGAGGGGAGATAGGGTAAGAGGAAGCTAAGGCCTCTTTATCAATACAAATTAGAAGCTCTTCCTCCTTTTCTAACAGACTTCTGATTATCTAGCGGTCCTCTGACTTAACCCACACTGGTGGTTATCTCTTTGTTTCTCCCACAGAGCCTTCCATAGATTCTGGAGTAGGCCCTTGAAAACCAAATTTTGCTTGTCACATAAATAAACCAGCTGGACCAGAACTCTGGGTGTCAGGCATTCCTTTTAATGCTCAGGAGCACAGAACTAGATTATCAATAAATATTTCACTGAGCAGGTAAAGTAGTCAAGCTCTTTTGAATGCTGTGAATGAGTTTTCCCATCACGTGGATCACCTCTTATTAAGAGGTTTAGACAGGGAGAGCAGAGAAATGGCTCTATTGATTGTGTTCCTAACCTTTGTCTTGTTTTATCTCTTACGCTTCTACCTTTGCTCAAGGTTTGTTTTTTTGTTTTTGTTTTCCCCCATCCAAAGACTTTTCATGGTTGAAGGCAAAAAAAGACAGGACACATGACTGTCAGCTAGTTTGGCCTCCAAGAAGCTGTCAACATTGTATTAGCCATGGAACCATTTCTTCAGGGGAAATAAATTAGAGCCATACATGTAAATCAGGTTAGAAGCAGAGCTACTCTGAATACAATGGAGAAGCCAGTGGAGGATTTGCATCAGAATGACATGATCTCATTTACACTTTCAGAAGAGGACTCAGCTTTGGTGTAGATCCAGCATGTCAAACTCAAAGGCTAACACAGGCCAAATAAACAAGTTTTAAGTTTATGTGGGCCACAAAAACACAAAAGCTTTAATTTTCATAGAAACATAAAATAATAGAACATTTTAATGAAAATGAATATTTTTTCTTGAACATTAAGTTACCAGACACTGAATAACTGCACAAATTAATAAGTGTAATGTAAATAAACCTATTTTCCTTGTTCTCTGAAAATATTTCCTGTTGCACACACCAAACAAGTCAGTACAAGACTAATGGTGTGGCAAACGGCTGCTAAAATATTCGCTGCTGGTATTAGTGGAGAGAAATAGAGAGCAGGCTCATAAGGAAAGTGAATGCAATACGATTATTGTAAACAGTCATCATCGAATGTTGTAGTTCATTATTAATAATTACGTATAACAGGATAATGTAAAAATTAAGTTATGAAATTTTTATTAAAACGTTTCTTATATATCGTTATATTGGCTGTGCTGCAAAAATATTCCTTGTGGGCTGTATGCAGCCTGTGGGCCATGAGTTTGACATGCTTGGTGTAGATAATAGATTATTGTTGGGAAGGAGACAGGCAGGGTGATCAGTGAGGAATATTTTTGCAGAAGTGATGATAGTTTGGATTAGAGTTGTGGGGCCAGTGGAGGTGAGAAATGGTTCTTGTTGAAAGTTAGTATATATACATATATTTACTTTGTCATTTAAATTTATTAATGTTTTCAATATCTTTATTGAAGTGTAATTGACATATAATAGAGAATTATATGTGTAAGTGTATTTGTATGTTTGTGCCTGCATATCTATAATAATAAAAGGGTAGCATGCTAATTAGACGGGACGTCCTTCTGGACGAAGACAGGGGTTTGAGGGAAGCCCAGGCTGTGAGGGAAGCATGGGCCCCAGATGCCAGAGGGAAGCCGGTGCCAGGAGCCACGGGAAGGAAGGCCTACTTTTGCATGAATTTTGAGCATCGGACCTCTATTATATACTTAGACACATTTATACATATAAAATGTAGATGATTCAGTGGTTTTTAATATATTCACAGAATTGTGCAACCTATACCACTAATTTTAGATCATTTTCATCATCCCAAAAAGGAACCCCATATCCACTAGAAGAAACTCCCCAATTCCCTTCCAGCCCTTGGCAACCACTAACCTACTTTCTGTCTCTATAAATTTGCTTATTGTGGATATTTCATACAAATGTAATCATATAATATGTGGCCTTTTATGTGTAGCTTCTTTCACCAGGCATATTTTCAAGATTCACTTAAGTTGTAGCACATATCAGTACTTCATTCCTTTTTATATCTGAATAATATTCTATTGTATGACTATACTACCACATCTTGTTTATCCATTCATCAGTTGATGGACATTTGGGTTGTTTCCACTTGTTGGCTATTCTGAATAATTCTATGACTATTTATATATAAGTTTTAGTGTAGACATGTTTTCAGTTCTCTTGGGTGTGTATATATGTAGGAGTTGCTTGGTTAAATGGTAATTCTATGTTTAGCTTTTTGAGAAACTGCCAAGTTGTTTATCAAATACATGGTTAACAGATATTTTCTCCAAGTCTGTAAATTATCTTTCAGCTTCTTGATAGGTTCTCTGAAGCACAAATGTCTTAATTTAATTAAAAAAATAATTCATTTTGATAAAATGGATTTATCTGTTTTGTCTTTTATTGCTTGTGCTGTAGGTGTCTTATATAAGAAACCATGGCCTAATCCAAGGTAAAAAAGAAAAAAGAAAAAAAAAGATTTACATCTGTTTCCTCCTGAGAATTTTATCACTTTTCTTCTTATATTTAGGTCTTTGATGCATTTTGAGTTAATTTTTGTATGAGGTAAGGCTCCAGATTCCTTATTTTGCATGTGGACATCCAATTGCCCCTGCACAATTTGTTTAAAAGATTATTCTTTCTTCATTGATTGTCTTGGCCCCCTAACCAAAATCCATTGGACTATGGATGTATGGATTTATTTCTGGACTCTCAAGTTTGTTTCATTGAGCTATGTCTATTTTATATCAGTACCAGAGACTTGATTACAGTAGTTCTGTGGTAGGTTTTGAGATCAGAAAATGTGAGTACTCCAACTTTGCTCTTTTTCAAGATTTTGCAGATGTCTCTGTGTGTGTGTGTTTGGCAGGGGAGCCCTTTTGGCTCTCTTGCATTTCCATGTGAATTTTGAAATCTGCTTATACACACACACAAGCACACATCTGAAATTTTGATAGTAACTGTACTATATCTATATGTTTATCAGAATATATAGCCATCTAATAATATTGTCTTTCAATCCATGGACAACATATAATGTCTTTCCATTTGTCATCTATACTTTCAAAGAAGACCTGATGGGAATTTCTCACAGGTTTGACAAAAATAGAAAAATCTAGTAAAATTTATAGGTTTAGGGCTTGAGTCACTAGGGCAAATGCAGGTGCTATTTATTTAAATGGAGAAGACAGAGAGTAGCAGATTAGGAAGCAGAAATCAAGATTAGAATATGCTTGGAATATATTTGAAATATGTTTGGTTTGAGATGCCTCTTAGACATCCAAGTGAAGATGTTTAGTAGGCAGTTGGGTAATAGGTGGTCTAGAGTTTATGGGTAGACATATAAATTTGAGAGTCATCAAAATATAAGTGTTACTTAAAGCCATGAGGATGCATGGCTTCCCCTAAAGAGAGATAGGGAGAAGAGAGTGTCCGAGGACTGAGATGTGGGGCATTTCAACATTGATCAATCCTTGAGAGGGAGGCTACTAGCAAAAGAGGGTTGAGAGTAGAAGAAAAAAAGACAAATTAGCAATATATTTTCCTTTCTGTGTTCTAATGCTTTGACATCTGGGGCCTTGATAATTCTGGGAGGACTGCCCCTCCTAGAATTAACCAATTTCTCACAAAGAAGTTCATCTTTCAAATGCACACCAAACAATCCAGAACCCCAAACCACCTTTGGCTAAGACCTTTGGCAGTTTCTAAAAGCTTTAAAAACAAACAAACAAACAAACAAACAAACAAACAACAACTTGGTCCTCACACACTCTGTCACTACTTATCTGCACTAATCACTCCAGGGCCAGGTACCAGAGGACAAGGGACAGACCCTATGCCTCAGAGCCTACTGAAATTATTCAAAATAGCCAATTCTAAGCCTGCCTATCCCACCTTGCCCATTCCTGCCTGTGAAAAACACAATAAAGTCTCCTGTCCACATTTCCCCTTCTCCCTCTGCCCCCATGTGACCCTGATGCTTCCCTGGGTGGTCCCCTGTGGTGTAACATGTTCCTTTCTCTTGGGAAAGAGGGTACAATTTTTTTTTTCAATGACAGCTATTTCCTGATTTGTTGGCCTCACCATAGCTAAATAACAATAAAACCTAGAATTGAAAATACTGTGCTACAAGGAGGGAGCCCCAAATTCCAGAGAGTTGGGTTAAACAGTGTGGAGGTCATGGGTGGCCAGATCCGTGTGGTCCTGGTGGATCTGGTGCTGATGAAAGCCTGGGTGGATTCAAAAGAAAATAGCCGGTAAAGATATGGAGACAACAGAATATAGGCCACTCTTCAGAAAAGAGCGATGAGGCAGAAGTTAGAAGGGAATATAATGTGAGGTCTGCAGTAGACTGTATCCTTGCTTTTATTTTAGGGAAAGAGATAATACATCAGGGACAGAAACACAATTTCCATAGGGAGATACGCAAGGCACACTGTAGCTGGACCCGAAGATCACTTTCCTTATTGAAAATGCAAATATATCCACAAAAGATATCATCTTAAGCTGCACCTGCAGGCCTGGGATTTGTCCAGCATTCTTACTTCTAGAGAACAAAAGGATAGCACATAACATGTAGTGCTGGCAACAGAAAGGACTCCTGGCTCAGTCACTCCGGGGCTTAACTTCCCTTTCTTCCTTGCCCATCC